TTGGCCGGCCCTACAATGTATTCTTTATAAACCAGTTTTTTAAAAAAATTATTTATTTATTTATTTATGTGTGTGTGGCCAGCTCAGCCCACCAGGGGGCGGGGCTGTCTGGCATGGGATTGAACCGCAGTCCCTGTGTTTTGCTTAGCTTAGCTTGTTCTAAGTAGGTGCTTTAGACCACTGAGCCATCTCACCAGCCCACCTACAATGTATTCTTAAGCAATGGAAGATGTTTAACCCTTACGTACTGAAAAAGAGCCATCAGATTTATTTGCACATGCCTATGGCCTACTGACTACCTACACCCAAAGTGGAATAGTGAGCGAAGTATTAATTATGATGCTATTTTACAACTACAGTTATACTGTAAAAAAAGAGCAGATGTGGTCACAACTGTCTTATGTTCAGATTTTCTTTGCATTAAGAAACAATCCTTATTTATGTTTAAAGGATAAATGCGAGCCACAGGAAAACCAGACATCTTGGGCCCTTAAGGCATCCACTGTCCCTGTTCCTGAGGCTGCTCTTCCTCAGGCTTTAGAACTGGAAGAGGAGGTTTCCAAGACAACCTGAAAAAAAGCCTCACTCACTACTACTGAGTCTAAAGCTTCCCCTTTCAGGTCCCGGGGGTGGAGCTTCTAGACCAGCCAAAATGGAAGCCTCCGCAGGGGTATATCTACCCTTAGCTGAGTTTATTCAAGCTCCCAAAGACAGTGTCCCTCACAGGAAGTAAATGGGAGATTTGGAACTACCAAGTTCGTGTGTCTTTTTCTCTCAGTGATCTACTGCAGGTGAAGCTAGATCTGTGAGTTTTCAGACAACCCTGATAAGTACGCTGAAGTCCTTAGGGGCCTAGGAGCTAGCCTGGAAAGATGTAGTATACTCGTAAACACTGACGTCTGTTACTGTTTGTTTCTAGCTGTCCCCCCAAAGCCTCATATAAGTCATGTGGGGAGGCAACTCGAGGAGCAGCAGGAGGTGCGAGGCTCAAGGGGTGGGGCCAGAGGACCAGGGCGGGGCTCGTGGGGCAGGACCAGAGAGGCACAAACGGTTAGACTGGCAGCAAGAGCTTCCGCTCCTGCCCGCGGTCTCTCTGGGTGTGGAGGGCGTCATCCTGGACATGGTGGCATCCTAGCCTCTACTCCAGACCCAGTAGTACTGCGCGGCCGTGTCTGTGATTGAGGCTGCCTCCAGCAGAGAGATGTTTGGAGAAGACAGAGGCACTGACTCTTTTTCCTGAGCAAATACGGCTCCGAGGTCTTGCTACATAATCTAGGCTGTTTTAAACTATGAAACCTCCAGTAACTGTGAGCTAAATAAACATTTCCTTCCTTCATTTTAAGTGTCAGGTATGTGTCCCAGCAATGAGAGAAGAGTAACTAAGACAATGTCTAATGAGAGACAAGCAGCATTACAAGCTGCATTTGCATTTAGGGATGGATAGCATTAATTTTAGAAGACCAGAAGACAGGCAGCCAAGGGAGTGGCCAGTTCCCCCTGGAGCCCAAGCAGTTCCCGCCCAAGGCCCCGGCTGGTACAGCAACCACTTGGAAGATCAGAGGAGCACAGGTCTCCAGACATGTACTCTTGAGGCTTGGCAAGGGTGAGAGCTAAGTCCTTCCATTATTTTAACTTGTCAACTATTCAGCAAGAAAAAAACTGAGAATCCCTCTACTTTCTTAGATGACTTAGAAGAGGTAAAACATATATCCCTAGCTCCTACTTTGATAGGTCAGACTATTCTTAGAGACAAGTTTATTACCCAGTGAGCTTCAGATATTTGAAAAAAGTAATGGCTTTTGCTTCAGATAGCGCATTTGATACGTCACTGAAAATTGCCTCCTCAGTATTTTATAGAGATGAGGAAGAGGCCATGGAGAGAAAAAAGGAGACCAGGAGAAAGTCACTGCCTTTGTTGTAGCCTTAAGAGGAATATATTCTAAGTCTGATTCTCAGGGCTGCAAAAGAGCTAGATAGCTACTACCCTTCAGTGCTATGACTGTCCAAAGTTGGGCTGCCTTTTTTAAAAAACCCTGCAACAAGAAGTCTCCTGGGCTAGGCCCTAATTGCTAAGGTGCCTACTGGGAGTCAGATTACCTTCGGAGGGAGGCCCCTGAGTTCATATCCATCTTTTTTTTTTTTTTGCGGTACCGGGGATCGAACTTGGGACCTTGCGCTTGCCAGACAGGTGCTTATGCCACTGAGCTATATCCCTGGCCCCCAGAAATAAATCCTGAAGAATGGGCAACTAAACATAAAATAGCAATAAAAGCTTTTCCAGTTAAGATACACCTTAAAGATCATGCTATTTTTCCTTACCTGAGACAATATCCTTTAAGACTTGAAATTAAGAGATTATTGCCCATGATTGATAACTTACGGACACACAGTTTACTTGAACCCAGTAACAGTACATGCAACACTCCAGTCTTGGGAATTCAAAACCAATGAGTAGAGGTTGGTATGGGACCTTAGACGGATGAATGGGGCAACAGTGTCAGTCCACCCAGGGGCACCCAGATGGATGAATGGGGCAGTAGCGTCAGTCCACCCAAGGGTACCCGCACATGCTCCTTTCTCTGAGCTCAGTAGATACAAGTTGCTTGTGAGTGTGAGATTTAAAAGATTCCTTCGTTTGTATTCCTTTACATACAGGGTCCCAGTTTACTTTTGCCTTTGAAAATCCTCAGAACCAGGCTTCTCAACTGATTTGGACTGCACTTCCTCAAGGATTCAGCAACAGTCCTCCTCCTCTGGGCAAGTGTTTCCCATGACTTGGCATGTTTTGAATTTTCCCAGGTCATGGTCTTACAATATGTAGATGTACACTGTCCACCAAGGTACCTGTTCTCTGCTGAATTTTCTAGCAGGCAGAGGTTATAAGGTCTCTAGGTTTAAGACACAACTTTGCAGCCTTGAGGTAAAATATTTAGGCCTTATATCCAAGGGTACCCAAAGGCTGGGAGAAGGAGGAATTAAACCAATTCTTGGGCTTTCCACAGTCCAAGGCTCTAAAACAGCTGAGAGTATTCCTAGGGATTATAGGTTCTTGTTGCCTTTGGATACCAAGATATGGTGAAATTGCACGACCCCTCTATCAGCATATAAAAGCCTAAAAGGCACATACCCAAATTTTAACCTGGGAACCTGATTCCCAAACTGCATTCCAGAAGCTTATAGAAGCCCTTCTAAATGCACCACCCCTGAGCCCACCAATAGTACACTGTTTCTGTTTGTAGTTGATGAAAGGTGGGGCATGGCTTTGGTAGTGCTTACACAGATCAGCGTATAGTGAATGTGGCCCATAAATGAGACACTATAGCAAAGGGATGGCCTGCTTGCAAGACACTGTAGCAAAAGGAAGAGAAAGAAACTGAGGCTGATGGACATGCCTGTGAACAGGTAATTCTCCACACATAAGCAAGCAGCCAGAGCAGACTTGTTAGACACACCCCTTCCTGACCGTAACTGGACCCTCTTCTGTGATGCCAGCTCTTTCATGAATGATGGGACAAGAAAGGCAAAGTGCAGTGGCAACTTTACATCTGACCCTAGATAGTTTCTCACTTGTACCTGGGACCAGAGCTCAGCTAGCACAACTCATGGCTCTGACCAGGGCCTTACAACTCAGTAAAGGGCACAGATTCATTATTTATCCTGATTCAAGATATGCTTCCCTAGTACTGCATGCCCACATGGTCCTATGGAGAGAAAGAAACTATCTGACAGCCAATGGATCTACCATAAAGTATCATAAAATAGATGATATTCTTTAATCTGTCTATATGCTCTCCTAAGTGGCAGTGATTCACTGTGGATGACACGAAAAGGAAGCTGACAGAGTATCTCAAGGTAATCAACTGGCTGGTGCAGTTGCCAAAAAAAGCGGATTGAGGGCCTTCCCTTCCAGCCCCCTTTCATCCCTTTGTTCTCTTGGCTGATCTGGGGAGGGTCCCTTAACTATATACTTGGTCCAAAATTCTCAGTCAGAAATTGAATAGGCTCTCTCCTATTGGTGTCATCAGTTCCTCCCATCAGGATGGTTCCTGCCAGATGGTAAATTGTTCCTTCCTGGTGCCAGTCAATGGAAAACCAAGTCTACATCAAAGAGACCCAGCAGATGGCCTCAAAATTTTTCATAGGAAAGGAACTTTTTCAGCCAACACAGCAGAATATGCAAGCAATAACTTTCGAAAAATTCAGATGCAAAAATTCATCTTACAGCAATCCATCTTACAGTCTTACATGCCTACCCTAAATCAGGACAATACTGCTAGAAATATAGGGGAATGATGGAAAGATGAGCACAAAAGGCAGATAAATAATAAATCACTGCAAATATCAGAGTTCAATGCGTGTCTTGGTTTCTTTAAGCATAAATGAAGGAGGTATTAACAGTGAAAGACTAAAGGACTCCTTTAAACTTTTTCTTGGAGACAGGGTCTCACTATGTGGTCCAGGCTGGCCTTGAACTCACTATGTAGCTCAGGCTGGCTTCAACCTTGTGGTGATCCTTCTCCTTCAGCCTCTGAATTATAGGCGTGAGCCACCATGCCTGGCTTCAAATTTCTTGATTAAAGTAGGTACGTGCTTTGCCCAAGATAAATAAGATGTGTCTGCAAAGGAGAGTCTAAAGATCAGCAAGAGACAAGCCTTACGCAATGCTGATGTGAAGAAGATGCCCTTATCCTTTTCTGAACCCTAAAGAGGGGGGCTGCAGCACTTCACAGAAGCAAATGCCACCGACTACCAAAGAAACATCCTAGAGTCCTGATATCCATCCCTTGGTTTGCTTGGCTGTGGACGACTCCTTGCCCGTTTGCCAGCTCACATCTAAGACAATGGAGCAATACTCTTTTGCTTTGTAGCCTACCGCGACCCCAAGTAGTGAAAGAACTTTCAAAGGGTTGAGAAGAGGTCTCAGCCAGAGACATCTGAAGTAACCCTGTTAAGCAGGAACACTGTTTACAGATACTGCAGGAAGAACTCATTATTCCTACCCGAACAAGGAAGGAGCCCTGCTCCGCTGGCTCGCCTTAACCGTGGCCGGAGGGCAGATCTTGATCTTGTCTGAACTTGAGTTGAAACTCGAGGGGAAAGGAGCATCCAGCTTCAATGTCAACAGGTGGACAGTGAGCCGCTCCCAGCCTTCTTCCGGGAACACTCACAGTCCCGCCCACCGTCCAGAGGACCTAGCTGCAGCCCGCCACTTCCACCCCATTGGTCGGGGCACCGCCCACCACCCAATCGCAGCAGGGCACGCCCACACAGAGGGCCAGATCCCCGCCCACCGCGGCGGGGCACGCCCACCGAGGGCCGGATCCCCGCCCACCGCGGCAGGGCACGCCCACCTAGAGGATTGGGTCCCCGCCCACCCAGCCGGTCGGAGCCCGCCCACCGCCCCCACCATGGTGGGACACGCCCACCCAGAGGGTCAGAGCCCCGCCCGTCCCGGAAAGCCGGATTCCGGAAACGTTGGCAGCTGGTCTAGGCCGTCACGTACCTGTGTCGCTTTCCTTTCTGTGACTGACTCCCCCGACTCCGGGTGAGGACAGAGGGTCGGCAGGCGAGTCAGGAGTGGTTCCTACGGTGCGGCGGGCTCGCGGGGGAGCACACGCGGGCTCCAGTGCTGGGATCGCCGGACAACGCTCGGGCTCCGCAGTGGCCACGCTCTCCGGCGCGTCGCCCACGTGCCCCGCCGAGCCCACTTGCGCCTTCACTGTCCGGCACCGCGCTGCGACAGCCGGGCCGATCGACAGCCGCGCCCCAGAGGGCTCCCCGCCGTTCGCCCCGCCGCGGAATAAGTGCGCTCCATGGGGGGCGGGAACCAGGGCTCGGCGCCACCCCTTCTCGTGCCTGCCCCTTGCGCGCAGCCGCCTTCCCGCCTCCTTTCAGTTCTCCCGCTTCCCGTCTTTCTTCCTCCTGCCTTCCCGCCTTAGGTCTCTGCACTTCCCTTGGAAGCCTTTGGGTTCCTGCTACTGGAAATAGAAACCCGTGCCGGGTGCAGTGGGAATGGGCTGCGGGAGAATTCGAGCCGGAAGCTAGACCAATTGGCACTCCAGCTGTAAGGTCAGTTGTGATAAATGATAAATTTGCAGTCCCCCAAAATGGTAGTTGTGCTTGAGATTTTCTCCAAAGCAAGTTACTCAGTGATATGCACAACGACTACCTACTGTAAAAAGATACAGCTGTCAGAGAAGACCAGCCACAGACATAGAGGAAAAGCGTATAAGAGATTTCTGATGAAGTATTCTCACCCAAAATACATGTATGTTGATAATCCAACAATAAGAAAATGCACAACCTGACCAGAAGTAGGCAAAAAGTCTTCACAAAAGCCTCGTGAAAATAAGCATGCACAAAGACATGTAGCCTCAGGTAATATAAACACAAGTTAAAACAATGAGATCATACTGTTACCAGGCGTGAGGTGGTGGAATCTCTTTGTAAAGGTTATCTCCCCTTTCTCTGAACAAAGAATTGGTCAAGGTAAGTGCAAAAGCCAGCAAGGCTTTTACATCTATTAAAGGTATGAAAAGAAAAGAAATATGTGTTGCAGAGTGAGTGTAGGCCAGTTAGAAGTAGAGCCATACTCTTGCCTTCTGAGCTGGCCACTGTGAAAGTTACAGTGGCAGAGCGCTCAGTGGCATTGTCTTTTGCATGTCTTGCTCTTTGGGCTGACTGCAGATCTCAGCCACCTCATCATAAAACCTTGAGGTCTTGGAGAAATAGCATTTTCAGATTGGTCCCAGGGACAGAGTGGTGGCTAAGTCTGCTGGGGCTCTGTGATTGACAGGTCACACCCACGAGCCCAGTGGCTGGCCACACCCTCATCTTGCCTCAATACTGTACTACACACGTATCAGAATAGCTAAAAATCCAAAATACAGCAAATGCAGGTGAGGATGTGCAGCAATAGAAACTCCCTTATTCCTGATAAGAGGCCACTCTGAAAAAGTTTGGCAGTTTCTTACAGAGCTAGTTAATAGTTTTATTATCAGCCATTTAGATCCATATATGCAGATTTGTTTGCTCACCATGGACCAAATCAAAATAGGCCATATATTTTGGGAAACAGGCATTAATTAAAGCTAGTGCCTAGAAGATGGAAGGGGCCTGTTTGCCTCCATCACCATCTCTTGTACAGGTGTGTACAAATCCTTCTTAGTAAGGAACAAAGGGGAGAGGACCGCAGAGAGGCAGAAGGTTGGAGAAGTTCAAGCATAACAGCATCCCTAATCCAATTGCTTTGCAAAAAGCTCCACCTTTGAGCCAGTGAAGCTTTGGGAAGTAAATCTAGACGTGAACTAAGCAGCACTGCAACATGAAACTTTTAAAGGATGTTTTTCTTTTAGAGATAAGCAACTTCTCCAAACTTCTTCCTGCTGAGCACAAAAGCAAAACTTCTCCTCTCCTCAGCCCCACAGAAGTGGCAGTATTTGCAGATGTTGACACCAGCAGGCCTGGAGCCCAGTTTTCTTTTCCTCAAGAAAGGAGACAGTGAGCTGAAGGTGACTGGAGCTGATAGACAGGTGTGGGGATCTGCACTGTCTCTTTGTATTCTTTGCTTTTGACTCTCAACGTCAGTCTGGCTGGAAGCCCCCAGCAGTAGCTATGCCACTGCCTTACCGTTAGATTGCCTTGAGATTTCTCCTGCCAGACAGTCTCAGTCTCAGACCAAAGTCTCTGGACAACAGCAAATGCAGACAAACCTTTTGCCAGGCCATAACACACGTTGCCTGGAGTCCAACAGCCAGTGCAGTCCTTTTTCCCAACAGAAACCTTCCCAGGTAGAAGTTTGATCAGCACTCTAGTCTTAAGCTCTGACCAGAATCTCCCATCAAGTTCAGGCTAAGGCTTTCCAGCGCTGTTGTTTTATTTTGTTTCGGTACCAGGAATCAAACTCAAGACCTCATGCCTGCCAGCCAGTCACTGTGGCCAGGGTTCTTTCAGCTGGCGTCTCCAAACCTTTCCCAACATTTCCCACAAGCCAGTTCTAAAGGCTCCTGAACCAGGTACAGTCACACCAACAACCCCACTTCTCTGGTACCAAATTCTGTCTTAGTTACTTGTCTTATTGCTGAGACTAAGTACCTGACACCCAGAGTTAAAGGAGAGAGGGTTTATTTGGCTCAATTTGTAGAGATTTCAGTCCATAGTTGTCTGGGTCCAAGTCAGATTGGTGTGGTAGAGGAGAAATAGATTGTGGTAGGCAAAAGACAACGCAAGCAAGCAGCCAGTGACGAGTAACTAGAGCAAGCCTCTCTGTCCCTTACATTGTAGCCAGCTCCCCACCCTTATGGCAGATAGCACTCACATCCTGAACTCTAGTACCCTTTATCTTTTTTAAAATGGATTTAGGATGGGGTCTACAGGGTGTACAGCGTCTTAGTATGTAGATTGGACTCCTAGTGATTCTCCTGTTTTCAGCCTCCCAAGTGCTGGGATTACAGGCATGTACCCCGGGGGTGGGGTCGGCATGGCATGCCAGAGATCGAAGCCTGGCTGCTGCACTCTGCCGAAGCAGAGGACTTTAGTCCGCTAAACTCTCTGGCTGGCCTCCTTTTATCTTATTGTTGCACCATGAATCAATCACACATGCTAGATCCAGTCACCTTGGAAAAAGCCTCACCTATGACTGTATTAGTCTTTGTTGGAACATCTAATCACAAGCCACAACACAAGCTATCCTGTTGGGGACCACAAATTTACAGTGGCTAGTTTTATATATTTCCCTAAGGCATAAATAGAAATTTGGAATTATTTTATTTATTTATTTATTTATTTTTTGTGTGTGCCCAGCTTAACCCACCAGGGGGCAGGGCTGGCTGGCATGTGGTGCTGGAGGATTGAACCGTGGTCCCTGTGCTTTGCTTAGCTTAGCTTGTTCTAAGTAGGTGCTTTAGACCACTGAGCCATCTCACCAGCGTGAAGTTTGGGATTATTGATAACCCTTTTGAGATTTCCCATTATCTTTTCAGGGATATGCCATCCTTTCCCACTAAGACTAAACTTAGACCACTGATATTAAAAAGCACTCTTAAGGCAAGATCCTCTCTAGCACGGGATCATCCCTGCCCATGAGTCCTCCCGGGATCATCTGAGGCCTGAGTCGTCCACCTCGGAGCCTCCCACCAACCAACCTTGGATCTCCCAGTGGACCCTCCTATCACTGTGCACACCCAACATACACACCAACCGGCTTGGAGTGTCTTTGTGTCTGCCATCCCAGGGCGTCGACCGCCCAGCTCCTCTTCATGCGTTACTGAGTTTGTCTCTATTTCTTTTTTCATTTTTGCCATATCACCATACAGCAGTTGGGGCTCCTGGCAGGTCCCTCATACTGTCCAGCTTTGGAGCCAGCCTACTGTGGACTGAAAGTGGGTCAAAACAAACCTCTTCCATTGATTTTTTTTTTTGTTGTTGTTGTTATTAATGAGAAGCATGACTGGTAGTTTTCCCTAATGCTTCTACTGCCGCAGTATGATTCAGTGTTTGCATCCTTAGCTGAAAACTACATCCATTCAAACATGAATTCCTGTGGCAGTTTTATTTGTGTTGCCAAATGTGAAATCAACTGAGATGCCTTTCAGTAGGTGAGTGGATACGTGGGGAGAGTTGTGGTTCCCCCCTTGGTAGAATAATATCCAGCACTAAAGTAAGTTATCAAGTCAAAAGACATGGAAGAATCAAGGGCATATTTTACGTGAAGACAAACCAGTTTGAAAAGTCCATACAATGTATGATCCCAACTGTAGACATTCTGGAGAATGCAAAATTTTACAATCAGTAAAAGGATGTCTTTTTCAAGATGGAGGAAGGGAGGGAGAGAGAGATTTGAAGCACAGGGGAGTTTTTTTTAGGGCAGTGAAGCTATTCTGATATTATAGTGGTGGGTACATGTCATAACACATGGACCAGCATTCCTTAGAGATAGAATACCAGTAGGATGTAGAGATGGGAGATAGATGTGTGGTTTATTAGAATTGGCTGTGATTATGAAGGCTTAGAAATCACATGACAGACTCATCTGGAGACTTGGGTATGCTGGAAATAGGGTTCAGACTAAGGCCTCAGGCCTCAGCTCTAGGGAAGCAGGTGGTATAATGTTCATTCGGCATATGGTTGTAATGGTGTTTAATTTATAATTATATCTTAGAACTTATAGGCATTTGTGTACTCTATAGGAAAACACCCAGCAAAATAGGGTTCTTTACTTGCCAGGGTTGCAAGTGTTCAGATTTTTTTTGTGTGTCCCTCATGGCTAAGGAGAGGGTCCTGTGCATGATTTATGCCATCTCCTCATTTTGCCAGTCTTTGTAGAGATTTATCAGTTTTATTGATCTTGTCAAAGAAATGATGTAGGGTTTTATGAATTTTCTGTTTCCACTATAATTACTTTCCACTACCTGCTGTTTCTTACCTTCTGCTTACAGCAAGTATATATTCTTTTTTCCTATTTCTTAGCACAGAAGATTCATTGAATCAAGAAATTACTTTTCTAATATGAGCAATAAATGCTAAACTTTCCCTCAATCACTGCATTAGATCTGAAAATTTTTTCATTTATCTTTATTTTCACTCATACATTTTTTTCTTTTTCTTTTTTATTTCATACTTTTTTTTTTTTTTTTTTTTTATTTTTCTCAAGACTTCCCTTTTCCCCTGTGGTTTTTTTTGGGGCATTTTTTTTTTTGCTTCTTTGGTGGGGGGTACTGGAGATCAGACTCAGAACCTTGCACCTGCCCGGCAGGCACTTACTGCCACTGAGCTACCTCCCTGGCCCACAGTTTATTTTGTGAGCGTATTAATAATTATGGAGTGATCGTTTTCCATTATCATTTTATTGATTACTAGTTTTTTCTACATTAAACTAGAATATATATATATATATATATATATATATATTATATCACTTTAATTCTTCTAAATATGCTATGACTCAGGGTAGTCTATTTCCATCAACATTCCAGGTGTACTTGCAGATGGTGCTGTTTTGCTTTTGTTGAGCGGAGCATTACATAGGCGTCCATTAGATCCAGTTGGCTGATAGTTTTAGCTATTTGCAT